GGAATGGTATTAGCTCTTCGGCGCAAAAGATTGATACTTCAAGAATCCTTAATGGCGGCTACGGCTTTACAATCCCTGAATTCGACATTTCGATACAGTAGATACAGAAGGCTGCAAAGAAACACTGGTTGGTAACTGTTACTAGTTAGTATGGAATTCATACTTTGATGAACGCTTTAAAAAAAAATTTCGAGTGTCCAGAAAATGTTTGATTACATTCCTTTCCCTATACGACACAAACTAGAACGTATACAAATTCGTCCGGGAAATGGACGTAGATTGCATACAGGCATACGGCAATTTATACAAATATATTTTGTTCCTCTGTAGCATGAACAACATTCTTGATCTTTCATTTTCGCCGTCATATTTATTTACAAGCGCATTTGCGCATGCCCTGCCTGAATTTCAGGGGGGGATTAAAACAATTTATGCATTAGGTTCGGCGCATGAGAAGAGCGACGTTTGACCTGCAGTCGCTCCGGCGTCGCACTTAACCAAGTCAAACCGCCGCACTTCTGTAGAACTTAAGAACTATTAAGGTGGGCGCATGAAAAGTTCGACGTTTGACACGGACGTAACACTTGTTATTTCTTTGAAATAGTTGGGTAAGTTGTTCCAAAGTAAAACAACACGGTTGAGATAGGATTCTTTCAGATAGTTTTGCTCTGTAAAATTGACATACATGCATGGTAATCGTTTGCGCAGAGGTTCCTGATATTGTATTCATATTGATTAATATCGATCAAAAATGCCAGCTTCGACTTAGGACAAAAAATGAGGTCTGCTATCCCCTAGATTTGGACAGATCACAAAATCGATCTGAATTAATGTCTTAAATGCACCCCCATATCTTCACCCAGCTTAGGGCACATTAGTTATTACTTTGTTATTATTATGTGTATGTTATTAACCTGCATGATTGCTCTTTGATTAGACATTAATGAGTGTGCTGGCAACGGACATGGCTGTCAAGAACAATGCGAAAATTTCCTTGGAGGTTACCAGTGTACTTGCCCAACTGGGTATCGTTTGAATGCAAATGATCACAAGACATGTGACGGTATATGTATGATGTAGAACATCCTTGTAATTACACCTGCTTCGCTACTCTAAGTTGGTCTCTCAGATCTTAACATCCCCATTTAAACTCGTTCAGCATTGCGTAGAATTCCCAATGCAGAGCAGTTAACATTTTCCCAAGGTATGGTGGGCTAGTTGGTTTGCTTTTTGTTATTGTCTACTGTGTTATTGTTTACTGTGTACAATGCATCATGCATTGGCGCATCTTTGGTAAATATCATTGAGCGTGTACTGAAATGGCGAAATGAGCTGCCTCGAGCGTTGACTTTCATCGTTTGATTCAACTGCCGATCCTTACAATGGCCTTCCTTTTTAGTTTAAAGGTGATCTACAGTCCGATCTGCGCATGTGCACAAATGAGCCCACTTTTTATGATACAAACAGTTTAACTATGTTTTGAGTTCTTGAAAAGCCTGATTGTTGTTTCTTGATCATTTATTATACTCTAGAAGCTTGAAAATATAAATAGTTGTCGAATAAAGCTCAATATTTTGGACACAAAAATGTAAACAAAGGCTTTGTTTACATACGGACTGTAGATCACCTTTAATAAATTTCAATAATTTTAACTCAAATGGTAAAATACAAATGAACATTGTCCGTAAATATGTTTGACTCATTAAAATAATAAAGCCTGGAATCCTACCTTTCATACAGCCTAGTCCCAGTCGTTCTGAAGCAAGCGCGAGAAAAAAGTGGATGTAGTACGAGACTGGGACCTAGGTGTGACGCCACCGCTCAAGGTGCTTCAGAACGCCTAGCAGATTTCAGTACTTTTAATATGGCGGAAAATTTATATATACATGTAACCTTTTAATTATAAATACGACAATGTTCGTTCATCATGTACATGTTCGATGTCTACATAACCAAATCAAACTGTATTAAAAATGTGCTCAACTAAAAAAAAATATATATACAAATTTACGATACCGAGTTTGAGCAATCGTTGATGTTATTTATGTACTCGCAAGTTATGATCAACACTAGACCATACTGGTATACACAACTACGCTTTCTACTTGACAGGTTTAAATTGCTGAGGAGATTCGGGAAATATTTGCTTGACATGACGGTGTTGTCAAAACATTCTTAGTCGGAGACTCGGGATAATTTTCAAGCTTCTAGATAGCATTTAATATGGCTATATATTTTAGTAAACACGAGTCATATTTAGCCCGTTATTCCATTCTGACCGTATGGCAGCGAAACGTAGCCTACTTCATTGTTCCGACAGCATTAGAGCGAAACTAACGACTTAATTATAAATGCAAAGGAAATTTCCATAACATTTTCCATTTACAAATGAGGTATGCTTGGTAACCAGGCCAGGGACCACTTTTTTGAAATCAGGGACCATTTTACCGAAATCTGCTAGGCTCTCTCGCTGAAGCGTTCCGCACAGCACACCCAGGCATAAAACTTTTAAGACTTATTTAAATATATCAAAGCAGCGAATAGAGAGAGAAAGCCTGGGACTAGGCTGCCTTTCATATTAATTAAACACAAAATGTTGCGCTTCTTTCGTTTTCCGGGGACCAGTTTTTCAATATTTCGTCAATTTTGAAAGCAAATTTGCCGAATTATTATCTTTGAAAAGCATTATTTACTAGTTTTTTAGTAAATATTGTGTCAGATTTACTGATCACCTAGCTAATCAGCACGCACGAAAGCTCTTTTGGTATATGCAACATTTATACTAATAATTAATAATTATGCAGTCTTCCGCGATGCTCATTAGGCCGCAACTTATGTTCCACATAACCGTCAACGATTGTTAAGTTTTAAAGAAGAGCAAATCATAAAATATGTGTTTGCATGTCGGGCAAAACGAATTCATGTCTTTGCATCAGTACTACTGAGTTTCAATTATTTAGTAAGGTGACTTATTGATAAACAGGAACAAGACTAGCTAACCGCTCCTTTTCTGAACTGAAAAAAATTGGAGCATGTGTTATTAATTATACAAATTGACTTTAGGTACAATTTATCATCATAAATATAAATGAATGTTCGGGAGGAATATCTGGATGTGCTCAAGATTGTAAGAATACCATTGGCGGTTTTACTTGTTCGTGTAAATCAGGGTATCTTCTTGGGAAAGATGAAACATCTTGCATTGGTAAGTTTAAGAAGCAATGACAAAAGTACACATTGCATGAGTAACAGTACCTTCTGTTTGTAACGCTTCTATGCATATTCTATAGCTACTTGTTGTAGGTGTGTACAGTAAAATTATCGAAATAAATTCATGCAAGCCTCTCGCATGATAATAACTAACTGATTTATTAACTGCAATTATTATGCCGATTATGTAATTTTTTCAATTATGATTCCCACAATTTCAGAGTGGCAACATAGCCTTTTCAATTTTTAAATTAATTGAAGCTATGTAAGCTCAGTCGACAGTCTAAATTTTACTACGACGTACTGTGAGATATTTTTAGACAGCGATAGAACATTGGGAATCTTCACTTATACACGTGTTTTTTCGTTGGTTGATGTCGTACGTGTTGCAGGCGACTTTGATTTAAAAACAAAAAAATCTAAGGACATTTTGAGCTAACATTCAAACAACAACAACAACAACAACAATCGAACAATCGAACGACCAAGCGACCGAACAACCAAACAATCGAACAACAACAATCCAGCAACAACAGTCCAACAACAACAACAACAAACGAGGATCAGAGTAGTGACGTTGTCAGGATTTCTTGTCAATTGGGTCAAAAAATATCCCAGGAGTGGCCGAAGCAATTTTACCCTGCGCTAGTTCGAATAAAGTTTTTTTTTATGTGAAATTAAAATGTATTTGGAGTTTGGACTTCCGCGATATCCATGCATGATTTTGTACAATTAACTTTTAGGGGGATCCGGGAGAAAATGTTTAAATTCTAGATTTGAAAGCGCCATTTTCAGCATTTCGAGAGCTGTTTTAGTGCATTTTGGTGATTTTTAATCACAAACGAATCCAGAACATTTAAAATATAGGAAGATATAAAATTTCCATTACAAGAAATGAAAATATAATACACATGCTTGTATTGGTCAGAATTTTTTCAAGGTGGGCCCAATATTTTACACAATTTTGCCAGGGGTGCGCCCCCCCCCCCTCTCTCTAGCTACGTTACTGGATTAAAGATATGTCTCTCGCTCGCCTTTAACCGCCTATTTCTCATTGACTGTCGTTACGCGCGTGGTAATTTCTAATCAACTCTCATCAACCCTCATCTTCGTTTGAGCGGAGTGCATGAGAGTCGGCAGTCACGCATTGTCACGGGGGACATTTCAAGCTCGATCTAGATATTAACAAAATAAGAGTTTAATGAGTGTTCCAACTATGTTTTCAGTTAAAGATTAATAATTATTTATTTATTTTTATTGCGCGGACTATTACAATACAGGTTACAATACTATTACAATAAAACTACATAGACATAGTGTAAATAAAAATACTAAGTGTAAAAAGCTATTTTAAGTCTTCAAGGCACGTTTGAAAGTCTCTACAGATTGAGTGTTTCTATAATATCACTTGAGAAACGTCTGATTTATTCCATTCTTTGAGAGCCGCCGCAGTGACGGCGCGATCCCCTGATGTAGGTTTTAGGAATACATGATAGTGTTGCCGAGAAACTACTATTAAGAATAGGTAACCAAGGTCACGCGACTACCAACACTCATGCATTCTCATCCTCGTTCGATCTGGGCTAACATGCAATTAAAGTTCTACCCTTCACTTTTGATTTCCATAGCATGCATGCTCAACGTTTAGAAAATTGCGTAATCTGCTAGCAGTGATTGCCATTTAGCTGTAAGCTGTCGTCAGCTAATGAGAGGAACGTAATGACTGCAAAGTACGGTCTAATTATATATTTTACAGACATCGACGAGTGCTCAAAGCCTGTTGACTATTGTCATCACCAATGCTTGAACACCGCTGGTAGTTACCGATGTACCTGCAGGTTCGGATATGACCTACTTTTTGACGGAAGGAGTTGCATAGGTAATTAGTTATCGTAATTACTGTAGTAGATGATTGTATTGTAATACACATTCACTTGATAAAATTACGGTGCCTCCAAGGTTCGTTTGCTACTGTAGTTCGTTAGATCGTTCGGAATCTTATATGCAGCGATTATGTATATATAGTGTTTATCGGAGTACCAATTATTTGGTTTTGTGCGTCGACCCGAAGTAAATGAATTTATTTTCTCAGGAAAGCGTATCCTGCGTAGCAGTCGCTTTATTTGTGGTTAAATGGCGGTTATGCTGTAGTAAAAGTCAATCCAGTCTAAGTCTCTCAATTTAACTTAGTTTGTGAAAAAATTGATAATGTGATCTCTCAGCGAACAATTTTCTTACAAAATTACGAAATCATTGATGGATAGCATTTTTTTATCACTTTATCTCGATATATTTATGAGTATAATTGGCGAAACTAAAACCATTTTACCATTTTGTTGATCCACGACCGCTTTTAAGAATTTGTCAGTGCCGGAGATCATCAAGAAAAAGAAAACAATAACTAGAAGGTGGTGAATTGGAAAACTAGGACTTTGAATGGGTGGAGAAAGGGGGAGTGCGGAGGTTCAGGTTGTATTTTTGAGCCTCTGGGCTTTGATGTTCGGCATTTGTAGACACAATTGTTGTTATGTTTCGTCCGCTAGGACCTAGGTAACGTGTACAATAAATTGAATTATTTTCCCAGTTTGGTTGATTTTCCCCCATCATTTAACAAAATCTTTGGTCTAAAAATAGTTTTGGGCTAGGCCAGTTGCCACTGCCCATATGCCTTATTCGTCTATGATGCCATGTTGTTTACTGTCGATGCAATAGATAGATATGATAGAAAATTGATCAACTTCCTGTTACTTCTAGATGAGCCAATTAGATTTCGTTTCAGAACTGATTAACCAATAGGAAACGCACAGGAAATAAAAAGAAATTTAAATTCGTATGAATTGATCAACTTGAGGAAATAAATTGATGCAATATTTTATCAACACTTCTATTGCATTGACAGTATGAAGTTCTTTAATTTTGACTGACATGTTTTTTTTTATATAATGTGATATTTTCTATAGGTCGACCATGTTTTCCGATACACAAGCCTCTGAATGGAATGAAGAAATGCTCTGGTTACAGGATGGATGATAGGTGTAATTTTGGTTGCCTTCCTGGCTATAATCTTATTGGTTCAGGAAGCAGAACTTGTGGTCCAGACAAACAATGGACTGGGAACGATACAAAATGCAAAAGTAAGTTGCGAATGTAATTTAATCTTTGCAGTTTATAAGTCCAATGTAATATTGACGTTGGTGAAATTTGGGGTATTTGGGGCAGGCATTACCTTTTGACATATAAGTTAGACAACAAAATTTCTGTTGAATGTGCAAAAAGGTTCCCAAAGAATAACTATAATTTCCGCACGGTTGAATCGTTTTAAATATAAAAATATATTCCTTTAAGTATACCTTTCTTCATTTTTCTTTGCGCAGAATACAAAATATGCTAGTGCAAAAACTATTTAGTGGACTACTGTGGCTATAAGTCAACACAAATAATGATTGAACGGCCGAATACTTTGATAAGCTTATTTTAATGCTTCCAGTCTCATGTATAGCGATATACATGTTGTGTTTCAACTGCCATTTATCGCGACTCAGAACCAGTTATTTGGATGCGCAAGACACTCTGGATTGGCTTATTAAGTTTCTACTTGCAATTTTTGCTGCGATTTTCTTGTGATGAATGTGAACGCATAAATAAGTTATGAATCATCTGAGTATGTGTATTCTCATCTAAACATTCTTGACTCATCCACTCGTTCATATACATCAAGAGAAGAAAATTGCACCTAAATCGAAAATTGCAAGTGTAAACTGACCTTCAGATACGTTGGAGCAGTTTGAAAATGGCGCCGTAAAGTCAGAATTAGCCGTCGCGTTCACATTGCGCCGGAACAAACGTCACTTGTGCCGTAACAATTTGTGTGAACACAAACGACATTACCCTTTTGTACTGCTTGCAAATCAAGCATGCATTTAAGTCTTGATCAAAACAGTAAATTCGAATGCTTTTTATTAAATATCTTTGCTCTTTTTTAAATATTTTGGGTTTACCTGTACAAGAGTGGTAATTTAATTTGTAAACAAACTGTAATGGTGTAAATAAACACACGTAAATTTTGCTCCGGTGTATAGTGTGAACGTAGTCTTATTAAGATTTTTGCATTTGTATCTCCGCAAGGATGTGTGCAAGCATTATTCATCAAATTTATGTATTTTATAGTAATCTATTGTGGTAGTCCTACCGTTCCCTCTAACGGTTTCATATACTCACCGTGCACCACTCACTATGGTTCACAATGCCCAGTTGGTTGTAATGATGGTTATTTCACGGACGAGATCATGCTAACATGTGCTGCGATTGGCAGTTGGCAGCCAAGCAACGTTTCATGCAAAGGTAATATTGAAAATTTGAGTCCTCTATTGCTGAGAAAGTATATACAATTTATATATATATTTGTGCCAACGGATAGTGTAAAAAATGCATATACAAACTATAGCTTCATCCGGATAGAAATGAATGTTTGAACAAAATCCAAATGAATCTACTGGGGGTAGACGCGGTGCGTTGAATAAATTGAACTCGACGTTAGAATTTTGACAAAAATGTTATAACAATTTAATAAACAGATAACAGGATATATACAGGTGTGAAATATGTACAATACAATACGATACTCAAGTCAGCAATTCCATGACAATGTCTAGCTCAGATATAGAAATTTTACCATCTCAAGGCCTGGTGTCTACCCTTCCCAAATTTTTTCTTTCCAATGTACGATCCATATCCAATAAAGTAGATGATTTTGATGTAGTCGTCCAAAGAAATGGCATAGATTTTGCGGGAATTACAGAGACATGGTTGAATCCTAGCATCCCGGATAGCTGTATAAATATCCATGATTTTAACCTGGTTAGAAAAGACCGCTCTGGTCAACGCGGGGGTGGAGTTTGTGCATTCGTAAAATCAAATATCCCATTCGTGCCTCTTCCTGACTTATGTTGTCCAGATCACGAGAATCTGTGGTTAAAACTTCGACCCTATCGACTTCCACGAGAATATTCCTGCATAGTTGTTGGTCTTGTATA